CATTATAATGATCTGCTCGTCTATCTCTTCCCAACTCTTGATATTGTTTTTGAGTTTTGTATGCACGGCTATAGACACACCTCTTTTTGCTCTTAATGATTTTTCAACTCCACTGCATAAATGAATATAGTCGTTCTTGATTTCATTTCCCTTTCCTTCCTTTTTTGTTTCTGACTTGTAGACATATGCGTAAGAACGCATATGTCTATTTTTTGTCGTTCTAATTCTTGAAGAACTTCAGTTTCCTTGGTTCTTAGACCTTGTACATTCCATGTGGCCAATCTCATAGTCCTTTTTCGTAGCAGTCGTCGTCTTTTATTTCCGTCCTTATTCCGAGGCTCTTGATCGAAATTTTTAGCAAATAACTTTTTTCTAGAAGAAGGGGGGCTGGCCCATCGTTCAAACCCCCCAGACTTGGAGGACCAGGATTTTGCTTGTTTTATACTCGCCTTTATATGCTCGTATATTTCTTCGATGTTGCAGTATCTAGATTCTATTATTTTTTGGTCTAGACGTTATTGGTATAGTTCTCTTATTGATCGTTTTTGGAGTAGTTTTATATTGTATTGTTTTTCTCTTATAGTGTTCAACGGTTCTTCTGTAGAGAGGGCCTTGTTATGTTTCCAATTAATCCCATTTTTGCTGTCAGTAATTTATGGTCCATTACATATTCTGCTCCTTTTCTGACTCGCACATCTTTGATCTTTATTGTGGTATCTACATTGATTATTACGTAGTCTATTATCGATTTTAGCTTTCGTGTTTGTTGCGTCCATGTATATTTATGAATATTTTATGTCTGAAGAATCCGTTGGTGATTTTTAGGTTGTTTAGTTCGCATAATTCAATCAGACCTTCTCCGTTATCATTCTGTTAATCCTCTCCAAATCTCCCCACTACTTTATTGTTTTCTTTCCTTCCGGTTCTGCCATTAAGGTCTTCTGTTATAATTATCTCCACGTTTTTCTTGATTAGCTCTATTTGGTGTTTAAGTTGTTCCGTGAAATTTTCTTTTTCTACTTTAAATGTATCGTGTGTTGGTGCATATACTCCGAGTATCACTGTATTTTTACTGTATATGTCTATATGCATGTTGAATATCCTCTCGTTGATTGGCTCCCATGTTCTAACCCTGTTCTTTCACTTATTTTTGATTAGTATTCCCACTCCTGCCTTTGCTCTACATTCTTTATTAACTCCGCTCCAGCAGTGGATATGGTCTTCTATTGTTTCCGTTCCATTTCCTTTCTTTTTGATTTCTGTTATTACTAGTATGTCGATGTTGCTTTCTCCAAACTCCTTGATCACTTCCGTCGGCTTTTTGTTCCATCCTTGTTTATTCCACGTTGCACATATGAATGTTCTATCTTTTCTTCGTTTTGATTTTTGGTTGAGCTTTGATAAGACTGGGTTTTCCGAACTCTTCGCAACATTGCTTCCTTTTTTTATATACTTTGTATTTTTTGACTTGCTACAAACAATATTTGTATTTGTTATTGTAGTTAAATAAATATTCTACTCTACTCTAACGCTCTGTTTTCATATAAAAAGTTCAATGATTGTAATGGGTTTTATTCAAAAAACGAAATTATATCTTAACAATTTATTGATTGATATTGAAAATTACTATAAATTTATATCATTCTAAATATTAAATAATTTTGGATATAAATAATGTACTGCATGTCTTACTACATTGTTTCTTCCTTGGTTTCAAATGCTGCTGTTCAATAGAGTTAAATATGAATATGATGTTTTCACTAACTGAAAAAAAAATAAAAAAATTTTGTTTAAAATCCTTTATAAAACGTATATAAAAATGCCTCAAACGGCCTATCACAAACACATTGCAAGACGTTTTCGGATTAAACAATCCATCATCAGTGCAAACGGTTGTACATGCTAGTAGCCACCAAAATATATGGGTAAAAACCCTTTAAATGTTTTAAATTTGAAGCTGTTTTACATTATTAGTATTTATAATTTGTGATGGTTAAGTTACCGTTGGATAGGTAACATGGCGGCGTATGACTCTACATGAGTAAAATGGTCCTGAGACGAAGTGACTTCGTCTCAGGACCATTTTACTTACCTTTTATTTACATTACCTTACCTTACATTTTAAGTATATTTAATGCGAATCATTAAATATACTTACCATCACAAACAATGCGTAATTTATTGAGCCCAGCGGTAAAGCACGGAGATAAAGAGGATTTTGACATCTGAACAGAATAAATCCAACATCTTTTTGTATCGAAGGTGTAGCTAGGTACCAATCGGAACTATATATGTCTTCTCGAAGGACGTATGTCTACAAATAGAGTCAGTATAGTCAATAGTCGCATTTTTTGCTTCTGTGAGCTCTAGTGTGACGTTTACAGATACTTACAAAGTTCATTAGTCTTTCTCCTGTATGAGCAAGTAGTAAAATTGCTGCTAACCATCCAAGAATAAAAAGCAAAGCTCCAAGTGGTTTACTCCCCTAAAAAAAAATGATAATATCTGTAAATTGAGACTGAGAAAATGACAAATTGTGTACTGTTTAATACTAGAAGTACCAGAATTGTTGCATATCTGGAATCACCTGAGCTCTCAAAATGACGGCTGTTTTGCCATCTATTTTCAAGCATTCTCTCTGAAGGTGTCCATACCAGTTAAGTCTTTTGGCTTCGATTGTGTCTATTATGTCTAGATCGATTTCCATTTCTCTCCGAATATCTTCGTTTCTCACCCTATCAAGTCTAGTAAGCTGGCAACATCGTCTCCAATAGTTCATTTGCATGACCTTAATTTTTGATTGGTTTCTTTGGTTTATTTCCCAGAGTTCGGCGCCGTACAGCCCAATACTTTCGATTATTGTTTTATAAATTCTTCTTTTATTTTCTTTTTTTTTTATTCCATAATAGTCCATGTAGCTGTCTGGTGGCTGATCTTGCTTGGCCAATCCTGGAATGTATTTCTTTGCTACTTCCTACTTTTGATGTTATTTGGACTCCCAAGTATTTAAAATTGTCTGTTGGTTTTATAGTTCCCATTTCGATTTGTAGGCTTTCTGGTTTTTCTCCTACAACTAAGTACTCAGTTTTTTGTATATTAATTGTGAGGTCCCATTTGATGTACTCATCTTCCCGTTTTCTAAGCATGTAGCCTACATCACTCTCGTCTTCAGCTAGAATGGCTTGGTCGTCAGCGAAGTGTATCGTATACAATCAATTATCTCCGATTGGGATGCCCATATTGCAGCACTTTCTTCTCCACAGTGAGAGTGCCTCCTTTAGATATATTTTGAAGAGTGTAGGTACTATGCAGCAGCCTTACTTTAGGCCCTTACTAATAAGAATTTTTCTAGTTATTTTATTTCCAGTTTTAGTGTTTGCCGTCATATTTTTGTAGAGCTGTTGTACTGCTTGTATATTTTTTCTGCTATTCCTTGTTTTTCTATTGCTACCCAAAGCATTGAAAGTGGTACACTATCGTATGCCTTTGTCAAACCTACAAAGACTATATGAGTTGAAAGGTTGTGGGCTAATCTTTTCTCGATAACTTGCTTTAGAGAGAATATACTGTCCATACAGGATCTGCCTGTACGAAAGCCATTCTGTTCTTCTACATCTGTCATCTCTTTTTCAATTTTATTTTTTATTATTTTTCCATACAGTCTTGAGAGTGAATTTATGACACTTAGCCCCCTGTAGTTTGAACAATTATTTCTATCTCCTTTTTTGTAGATGTTGTTAATATTTGCTTTTGTCCACTCCGGTGGTAAGTCGTGTCCAGTATAGAATAAGGTGAAGACATACGCCAGAAATTCCCGTAATACTTGTGGGCTATGTTTTAATAATTTATTTGGTATACCTTGTGGTCCGCATGACTTCCGATTTTTTAGAGTTCGTATTGCATTCTCGACTTCCTGTACTGTTATTTTATCGTCTTTCCTAAATTCCAGTTCATATGTTGTTGTACTGATGTTCGTGAATTGAGGTCTTGTTTCAGTCAAAAGTTGTGAGTAGTGTTCGATCCAAGATCTTTCTTCTATTAAATCTATTCTACTCGTTTCTTTTCTGTTTGTTCTCAGATTTTTTTACCGTTTTCCATGCTTCTCTTGATCTTGTTGACCGTATATATTTGTTGCGTTCTTCTCATTTACTTTCCCAGGAAATATTTTTTGCTTTAGTTACTAAATTTTTTACTTTTTACTTCTCTGTTTGATCTTGCATATGTTCGTCTATCATCTGGGTCATTTGTTTGCAGCCACTTTTGATATACTTGTTTCTTGTTGTGTACTGCATTGACGATGTCATTTGTCCACCACAATGGCGTATTCTTTTTGTTCTTTTGGATTGTGCCGAGCGCTTCGTAAGCTGCTTCATTGATTATCTCTTTATAGGTATTCTGGGCTAAGGAGTAGATCAGGTTTGCCAATTTTTGGCTAAGTGGCAGCTTATATAAGTGCGTATGTCTTAAAAATATGAACCAATGCGGTATTGTAGACACCGCCCCTCATATACCTAAGGGAGTCGAATATATTCGGCATGTACACACTCAGCTAAGTATTAGAATAACCGCTGTGCAAGAAACACTGCCGTTTGTGTAATTATTCACCCCAGGTATAAATAGACGCTGTCCAGCCAGTGCAGTCCAAAGTCTAGAACACTGGAAAGAAGATTTATTTATCGACACAGGTACAACTGCATATTTTCGCTAAAATCATTACTATGATTTTACAGAATTGTATTATTTATTTATTTGTTGTTTATTATTTATTTATTGTTTAGTTATTAATTGTAATAAATGGTATTTATTTGTTGTGATCGTATTAAAACAAAGCAAAACTTACCTGTATCATTTGATTTTCTGAGCAAGCAACAACCAGTGCAGACACACAAGTTATGAGCGAGCTTGTTCGCTTTCCTAAATTTGACAGTTCAGTAGCCATACTACAAAATTAAAAAAATAATAATTAAGCATGTGTATTACAAATGGAAAGAAAATAAAAGGAAAGAAGTAGAAAAGGGGAGAAGCTAAGAAAAAAAAGACAGACAAGGCAAAAAAAGGAAAGGAAAGGAAAGGAAAGGAAAGGAAAGGAAAGGAAAGAAAAGAAAAGGAAAGGAAAGGAAAAAAAAAAGGAAAGGAAAGGAAAGGAAAGGAACGGAAAGGAAAGGAAAGGAAAGGAAAGGAAAGGAAAGGAAAGGAAAGGAAAGGAAAGGAAAGGAAAGGAAAGGAAAGGAAAGGAAAGGAAAGGAAAGGAAAGGAAAGGAAAGGAAAGGAAAGGAAAGGAAAGGAAAGGAAAGGAAAGGAAAGGAAAGGAAAGGAAAGGAAAGGAAAGGAAAGGAAAGGAAAGGAAAGGAAAGGAAAGGAAAGGAAAGGAAGGAAAGGAAAGGAAAGGAAAGGAAAGGAAAGGAAAGGAAAGGAAAGGAAAGGAAAGGAAAGGAAAGGAAAGGAAAGGAAAGGAAAGGAAAGGAAAGGAAAGGAAAGGAAAGGAAAGGAAAGGAAAGGAAAGGAAAGGAAAGGAAAGGAAAGGAAAAGAAAGTAAAGGAAATGAAATGAAAGGAAAGGAAAGGAAAGAAAAAGAAAGGTGAAAATGAAGGTGAACGACTGAATAACATATGATATGCAGCAAATGATATATAGTTTTTACTGAGGCACAGATATTTACTGTAGTAGATACGAGTCGACTTAAGGCTCTCGAAATGTTATATTATAAGCGTATTCAACGTTTATCTTGGGTTGATAGGGTTGTGGTAGTCCTTTGCAAAATGATTAAAGAAAGTGAAATACGTGGGACATATAATAAAAAAAACTTTTAAAAACTTTACAACCCTATCCAATTGATTTTCCAAAATTATAATACCTACGTTTATCCACGTTATACCTATGTTAGGACAATTCCTATGGAAATATGGGATCGTAGTAGAATCATAGCCAACTACGATTGGTAAAGTCAGATTGTTTTAAACCTTTTGACGCTCGGGACTCCAAGAGATATTGGGGGTGCTCCCATACTGGGGAGGATTACAGTAGTAATGACGAGTAATCTGTAGAAAAACTAACGAAAGCTCACTGTCCCTGTCTATAGGTAAACGATGCAAACTTTAGCAAATGTCTGGTTCGTCCGCCTTTAGAAATGATTTTCTATTTCTAGGACAAGAAGGTCTTCCATTTACCGACTCTTCCACATGAAGCTGTTGGTCAGTAAGTGGGGATTTCTTATACCAGCCATCACTCAGCGATCAAATCAAATTAAATTTTTCTTTACATAGGTAATTTAATTTATTCCTGTCACCACAAATTGTATAATCAAAAGAGATATTAAAAGATTATTGTGATTTCTTTGACAATTAATTAAATATTGGTGTGTTCCGAAATAAATTTTACATTTATCTTACATAAAAGTAACCACAATATAATTTGACGTGAAAAGATGGATACATTTTATTTTACAAATAAATGTCTATTCTTCAGATAAACATCTGTCAGATAGCACAATATTCATCTGGAGGTTAAAATACCGGTCCTTTCATGCAAGAAGTTTATTATTTTGAAAATTTTGTTGATCCTAAAAAAATTGGCTGCTAATTTGGTGATTGGTAAAAAAATAATATAAAACTCGAGCTTTGTCAACAAATTAATTGCCAAAGCTGGTTTCATACGTATGTCGAGTTCATAAGACGACTTTACGCAAAAAGTTCAGCGATCTCCAAAAGTGACATTTGTTATGAAAGTTGTACCGGGTGGTACAATTAGCAGATCTCTCGGCTATATATCAAAAACTCTTCATGTTATAACTGTAGGAGAAAAAATTCCTTAGTAAAAGTGGCCAAGAGAAATTGCTGGAAATAACTTTCAAGTTTCTGGGTTAACCGCTACTAGGGGGCGTAACCTGTGAAGAAAAATTTGAAAACCAGTTTTTTGTGTATTATGCCCAATTATACTAAGTATTAAATAAGTAAATTAGAAAGAGAACTAAATTCCGCACAAAGTTATTCAAGTACTTTTTTTATTTTTTTCAAATAAAGGGTGGGGGAGAGTGGGAAAGTATTTGTTGATAAATATCTATAACTTTGGTTTAGATCAACCGATTTTAACGAGATCAGTGTCATTAGAAACAGTGTAGTTTTAATTGTCATGGGTAGAGATTTGCCGACTACTTATATCTGGATTCTGTTGAATTAAAGCAAGAACATTGATTGAATTATCTTCTGTCATATATCTACTACGTCGTTTAAAACAAGGACGATGAAAAGTACCAGTTTCTCTTCTTGCCTTTCTTTCAAATACTTCTTTGCCATAACGTCGCCTGTCAGGATATCTTACAGAATATATACGTTAGGCAATAGCGGCATTTTGGTGACATTCGAAATAAACTCCAATCATATCATACAATTCTGCATTTGATATACTCATCACGAATTATTAGTACTAATAATTAATTACTAATATTACCTCTAATACTAATATCTATTAAAAACAGTGCAATCTTCAATTCGAATTATATTATAACACGTAAAATAATGACACTGCCGTCAATAAATAAACAAAATGAGCCCCCGTCAAATTCATTGTCGTAGCTTAAACTAGTTTCGAAAAAACTATTTTTAATCATATGAAATAACAATGATCAAAATAGGTATCAACATTAATATACAAATATTTAATCCTTCGATGTCGGCTCCTCCTATCATTGCGAATGCAGACGTAAATTAATTTATTCACACTCTTTCTAATGACACTAATTTCGTTAAAATCGGTTGATCCAAACCAAAGTTATAGGTATTTATCCACAAATACTTTTCCAGTCTCCGCGACCCTTTATTTGAAAAAATAAAAAAATTTACTTGAACAACTTTGTGCAGAATTTAGGCCTCTTTCTAGTTTACTTATTTAAAAATTGGTATAATTGGCCAAATTTCCCAAAAAAATGGTTTTCAAAGTTTTCTTCACAGGTTACGCCCCCTAGAAGTTAACCCAGGAACTTGAAAGTTATTTCCAACGATTTCTCTTGGCCACTTTTACTAAGGAATTTTTTCTCCTAAAGTTATAACATGAAGAGTTTCTGATATATAGCCGAGAGATCTGCTTATTGGACCACCCGGTACAACAGATTAAGACAGAAAAAATTAAGTGGAGTGATTGTCGATGCAATTGATTGTATCATCCGTCGCATAGTGTCGGGCAAAATCCCTAGTTATTTATAAGAATAGTGATCGGCAATCGAATTCAGGATTCGATTCGATTCTACTCAAATTCAGTCAATGAATTTGAATAGCAATATTAACATCGTAATAGTACATTGTTTACCGGGTAGGAAAAGCTTAACGTTCCTGGACGACTGTGAAGATTGCTAAGTGGAGGCGCAAGCCGAGACTTAGCAACACAGAGTCCAGGAATGTGGCTTTTCCTACGAGGTAAACATACTATTTTTCCGCAAATCGTTTAAAATTCGACAGATATTGATTGATTTAAAAAAAAACGAGATAATTTTATTCCCAAATAAATGGTGCTTTGAAATTCCTAATAAAATTACTTGGGTTACTATGGAAACGTATTGAGGTTGAATTGTCAAACTTGACGCTTATAAATTTAATTGCTGGTGTTCTCGAAAGTAAAATGATAAGTGATGATGAAATTTCCATTCCTGGGACTCCTCCAGAGCTGGTTGAGGCAGTGAATACTGCTTCATTAGAATTATTGCGAAAGAAATCAAGAGAAAAGTACGAAAATGCATACAGACGTTTTATGGATTATCGCATGAGTAAAAATACGAGTTCTTTCTCAGAAAATGTTGTAATGGCATACTTCCTAGACCTTTGTTTAAAGATGAAATCTTCAACATTATGGGTCAATTATTCAATGCTGAAGTCAACCCTTGCACTTAAACACAATGTAGATATATCTACATACTCAAAACTTCGTTCTTTATTGAAACGGCAAGCTCAAGGTTATAGGGCAAAGAAATCTAAGATTTTAACGAAGGAAGAAATTGAAAAATTTATCCAGGAAGCTCCAGATAAAGAAAATTTAATGATTAAGGTAATTTACAAGGTTTTAATTCCTATTTAGATTATAGCTTTATTTATTTTTTAGGTGGCTGTAATATTTGGTATTTCTGGGGCCTGTAGAATGGATGAGTTAGTCCGAATGACTGTACACGATATAGAAGACTTAGAATCTAAGCTTTTAATCAGCATACCTGATTTGAAAACCAACAAACCAAGATCATTTGTAATTAATCAGATCTACTTGAATGTTTATCGAAAGTATGTTTCGTTAAGACCAGAAAATATGAACAGTGACCGATTTTTCTTTAAATATCAAAGCGGAAAGGGTTGTAGACGAGTGGTAGGAATTCATCAATTTGGAAAAATGCCCAAAATAATTGCTACTTAGTTTGAGCAGGTAAATCCGACAGAATATACTGGTCACTGCTTTCGTCGGTCTTCTGCAAAAATATTGGTTGACTCTGGTGCCGACATAACTAGTTTAAAGAGGCATGGCGGATGGAAGTCATCAAACGTTGCTGAAGGATATATCGAAGAATCGCTTAACAATAAGGTTGAGGTGGCAAATAAAATTTTCACAGTACAAAATATTCAACAAAATGACACTTCCACCCTGCATGTTGTCCAAAATGTTTCTCATAGTTCTAAGAGTGTTCCTCCAATGTTCAATAATTGTACTAACTGTCAAATTACTGTAAATATAACAAATGGATCTTAAAAATGTATTCAGCAATGACTTGATGTTTTCAAAATATAAATTAATTCCTTATAAGCAATGTGTTTTCTATCATTTATGTAGAACACTAACAACTGTACGGAAATATCGTTTCCTTATAGTAAGGAAATGACATTTCCTTACAGTAAGGAAGTCCTGACTTTTTCTTCAAGAAATTTTGACAGGAATGTCAAAATTTCCTGGCCATTTGCGGAAAAAGTTTTTTATTTATTTCATGCATAACTAAAACTTCTTATTATCTGTTTTGCTTACCTTATAATATGGTTATGATATCTGACCCAATATCCCAATCCATCTGGTCTATACCTAATATTTTTATCGCGTATTATAGTAACAAAGTGACTGCTTAAGTGTTCAAAATGCAATCCCAGTATCTCAACGCATTCGAAAGTCAAATACATAAGCATGGCTGAAGGTAATAAAGTGAATACTAAAAAATACAGTTGAAATTAGAATTCAAAACAGCATTCATGGAAAATATTAAAAAACAAAATATAAAGCAGTCTCTGTGTCTGTCTCCCATCGGACGCGTCCCCAGGTGGGGGATAGGGGAACGCCCTAACCGGTCCCAGGATTATCGGGTAGATGGGAAATAAAATACCACCCGCGAACCAAAACAGACTAAGGTATGGTAACCCTAGCAGAAGAGTCTCTGGTCCTCCAAGTCTGGGGGTTGGGCGTAGGGCTAACAACCCTACCCTGGAAAAAAAAGAATTGTTACGAAAGCTGAAAAACAAAAACCGGACGTACCTTATGTAGACGATCTCGCAAAAGAAAAAAGGATATTCGATTTGGATCATGGAACGTGAGAACATTGTACTCTGCAGGAGCGATTAGATGTCTA